TCAGGGCGCGTTTCCTCTAATTTCTCTCCGCTCCTAGACTTTCACGTTATGGATAATGGTCTATGCTATTTTGTCGGAAAAATCTGTGGGTATGGAACCCTGATATTCTATTTATTTGTCCTTCAGTTTTGTCCAGCCAAAGATGGCAACAGGAGGCGTGAAATTCGCACGGGGAATCTCGGGAAAGATTATCCTGTCCGATCTCTCGCCCCACTCCTGTTTCTATAAGGTGCCTCTAAAGTATATTATATCTATTGAGCGCTGGTATTATTAGCTCCTATGTTTGTGTTGCTCAAAATAGTACTTACTCTAGGCTAAACGGTCCTTGTACTATATGGTGCAGACTAGATTCTCGTAGCTCCAGGGTAATACCTCTGTCAGTGAATTTATTCACTACCGATAGTCTAGATATGAAAAATCACCAACATTGCTTGGTAGTCCTGGTCCACTTGGTCACCTGTTACTCGAGTGCCGGTAGGCTCGTTGGGACAAAGCGATTGCGCAGGGGGAACTGGCATGAAAACTTTCAACTAGAATCACATGTTTAGGAAGATATGGCTTCGCATAAGTACTCGGGATACACTCCCCACTAATTCTGTCTTTTCCGATTCACAATCAGAGCATCATTAATGGGACATGGAGATTTCGGATTACTCATGTATAGCAGTGTTTTCCGGGGCACTGTTCTTTTGCCAAAATGGGTTACTAGTACCCGTCGGTGTTGGCTTCGGACCCCAGCCACTATCGCGCAGGGCTGGTGACATGGACAATTCGGGGGATCGAAAGGTACCGAGGGTTACCGGTAGGCCATCGCCTACCTCGGGTGTTCCATAAAACCGGAAAACATAGCCTTTGTCTGCACAGAGATTTTTATAGGGCTACTGGTGGTAAGCCACTGGCTTTTGACAAACGTGGGTTAGGTAGACTAGGTCTTGGGGATTGGATCATACCGTGCGAGAGTCTGCTCCCCCAGAAACACCATGTGACCGCAGAAGTGCTGACTCATACACACTATTTCGCGTATCATCAATATTTAATGATCAATAATATCCAGACGGGTTGGGGGTTGTAGGAGGGGAGACTTGATTGTATACGAGATGCCTATAGTAGAGCGCATTCTTGGGAGCAAAAGTGGGCCGAGGAAAGGGAGAGCCAAGCATGGCTATTTGAGGGAAGATAGAGGAGAGGGGGGCAGTGCAAAAATGGATGAAAAACAAAAAAAGAGAGTTATGATATTGTCATAAAACGGCGGTGTCGGGGGCTACAAGATATGAGACGATAGAGAGATGAGAATGGATATCGTAATCAAGGGGTATGAGCGCAGGATCGAGAGTAGAACAGGTAGGAAATGGGAAAGGGGCAATGGAAGAAAAAGGAGATAATAAAAGAGAGAGTATTTCATAAATCAAACAAACACAAAAGGCAGTAACCGCAAATGATATCAGTGCCCCTAACACCTAGAAACCTGACACCGATGAACCTAATTCCCATAGGGCGGCCTAGCACGAGAAATCCCATGCTTGTTCAACAAGTGAGCAAGAAGATTATCTGCCCGCTTGATCTCACTATCTCCAACATGAGCACATCCCTCAACTGGGCAATCCACACGGTCACTAAGGTGTTTTGCGAGGTAATGTCTGTTGAAGGCTTGCTTTGTCTTGAAACTTCCACGCCAGGAGCAATTTGGGGCTTCGCAGGTAAATCTACCAGGGGCGCAAGTATGAGGGCCGCTGCAGGGGTGGTACAGTACATGTTAGTGTCATGTAGTGGGAGCATGTACAGAGTTCGGTAAGGGGGGATTGCTAACCTGGCGCCGGAGCACTTGTGGTATTGGCAGAAAACGCGCGGGGGGGCAGCATGGGCATTCCTGGGAGGATTCGTGGCAGCAGTGGAGGTGACGATGTTATTCTCTGGGTTGATTTCGCCTACCCCGTCGGCGGTCTCGATATTATCGGTGGTACTATTCCATGATCCAAGAACCGAATACCAGTCATCCTCTTCTGGGTGTAGCGGGAGATCGCCTAGTTGTGGGTGCAATCCCAGTGGGTTTCCTAGTTCGTCGAAACCAACTAGTGGATATGCAATACCGGTGACATCATCGCGGGGTAAACCAATGAGTGTGGGGGCCTTGGCTCCATGAGGCTCTGCGATGAGGGTTAAAAAAAAAAAGCAAACAGGAACCTACCGTTGCACCCCTTTAGTTGTGGAGGGATGTTACGTAATCAGCTAAAAGTGCAAAAGCTAGCGTCAACGATGTAAAATTTGGCACAAGAGAGGGAGGGGGGAAGCGCAGGTATTTCAATTTCTTTTCAAGGGGAATTACACTTTGCCTTCTTGCGTCGGTTGCCCAGATACGGTATCACAATGTGATATACCGGTGTCAGGGGGGGGGGTTTCTTTCCCTTTTCCTGGATGGTGGTTTGACTACGCACTGTGCCCTACCCGCTAACTCACTTTACCTTCACAATATACCAGAAAGTAATTGCCTGATAATCGGGACTGGTGAGCAGTGATCAATTTCACAAATAACGCAGAGGAATCAAAGAAAGAAATGTAGGCTCAGTTCAGTAGAGATGAAAAGTTCTATTTCCCAGTGGTGGGCATGTGTGTGTTCTCGTTGTTGCTAAGAGAAAAAAAGGAAAGCTATAAGAAGAAAATCCTGCACGCCAAGCCCCCTCTTACACATGAAAAATATCCAGAGCCTCCTCCCCATCAAATACATGAAAGGCATCTCCAAATCAAGCAATTCTCCACACCGGTATGCATAAACCTGAGCTTTTGAGAGTCATAGCGAATCATGGACTGTAAATATAAGCCCGGAGCTGCAAGTACCGGGGTATTTACTTGACCATATTTGAACTACTGTAAGTTAAGCCGAAGAAATGAATTTCACTTTCGTTTATGTGTGTAGGTTACCCAAACACATGCATGAGCCTGAAACATATGCCCTGTACTAACAAATCTGACCAGTAACAGAGTATTAAAAAGATCCTGAGACATAGATTTCTGTACCGGCATCTGCACTCTCAACCAACCAGCTAACATTGGCCCTCCCATGCCACAAACTAGCCTGAGACCACGTCTGTTATCATTACCGGGCCTCTGAATAGCTGAGCTAGTAAATGCGATATCATACCCTTAGTTTTTTGCTTCTACCGTACAGTATTTTAGGTTAGTGGTCTTTGGTTCATCCCGTAGATTGCAGTTATCAATGGAGTTTACTAGATTGATACAAGTATTAGCACCCTATTATACTATATGAGTTCCAAAGAGAATTTTCTATGATATTTCGTATCAGCCCACTTAACTACCCCCCACCAAACGGCACCTAGTGCTCTCTGTTTTATTTAGCTTTCGCTCTTTATGCAGCATTCAATTTTCACTCTAGGATTTCCGGGGCAACACGGATACTAGGGAAATTACTTCTGCCTCTTTCGATACACATTCTCAAGCCGGGCACATACATTACTGGCAGAGGCTACAAAGCCCGGATATCCCTGGTGAGCACGAGAATCGCTTTCCAATATTCAAAAGAAGATTCAACCACCTTGAGGGCCAGGTTCAGTACATAGTAGCAGGAATGGCGATTTGCACTTTGCCTCTACCAAACTTTATGATGGACATGTAATCCCAATTGGTAGTCGGTGGGATGTGGCAGCTGGTTGGGAGGCATGGCGTTGTTTAGCTAGAACTATTATGACCGCGGTTGTAGGAATTTTTCCCTGTTATGAGGATTTGCCTCTATGGTGGTGTGTGTTTACTCTTCCTGTGTCATATTTGAGCAGGAACGAATCGGTCATGGACCACTTGTCGAACACATTCATTCTCGCCTCCGCACAAGTCTTTTCCTCCTTGGCTACGAAGTACCTGCTGCCAGCACCCGCTACCACTTTATTCCCCCTGGGCTCCCGATTTGGACAAATTACATGCTTGCCTGACAAGTGAGGCGCCAAATTATCCCCCAGCTTGATCTCCTGATGCCAAAATGCTCACACTCCTCAACCGGGGAGTCTCTGCGGTCGTTGGGGTGTTTCACGCTGAAGTTTTAGCTGGGCGCTTGATTTTTCCCGAACGACTTTGCCAGGAGCACCTAAACTCTCTCAAAATGAATGCTCCAAGGTCACGCGTGTGTGGCCTTCTCATGGGGTTTGAATATCGGGCGGTATCTTAGTATATAGGTGGGCGGTGAATGCACACCGACCCCGGGATAATTAATCTACGCTAATCGCAGTAGAACACGGGTAGCCCGGTGACATTTTGCAATGGGGCGCTAGACCGTGAATCTCTGAAAGTGTTTTGCGGTTCTGAATTGGCCGGGAATTGGATGCTAGTTCCAGAATTCCACTACCAACGACTGGGTAAAGCCCGACGTTCTCTGGACAAAGTTGGGGGCTGAGTACGATACCGGTTGTCCCCCCGATGACGGCAGTAGCGTTCAAGAATTGCTTTTACTCTAGTTTCACGCTCTGCCGAACCCCCCCCATATATATTTTAAATTAGCATCTCGGGGGAAAGATCCTAGGAGAAATTCATGCTGGAGGTAGAGTGCAGAACCAAAAGAAATGGTAATGTCCAAGCTTTCCCCGGGAGGGAAGAAGGGGACACAAGCTGGAATCCAAATTCCATTGATGAGGGAGTCCAGAGGGTTTGGCTAGTTTTTCAAGCATTGAATTTCGATGGGAGTGTGTAAATCTGAGACTATTTGTATAGGACCGCGGAAATATATGCTAGTACAGAAGATGGTAAGAGTAAGCTAGGCAAGGCGAGGCAGCCATTGCTGGTGCGGTGCCAAATTTTCAGATCTAGTAGCCGGGCAACTTGGAGAGATGGCGCTCGCTGTCCGAGTATGATCGACAGTTTTTGTTGGAATTGTGGGGCCCTAGGATCTGTAAAGCGAAGGTCATCTTTAGACAGAAAGAGATGGTGATGCGGGTTCGTGCGCAATCCTAGCCTTGTTACAGCCCACGAGGGGAGCTACCAGCGCAGAGGACCAGCCAAGCGTATTAAATGCTTATCTAGTATTCGCATTGTAGCACTTGGTCAAATTATCTAATTCGGGTTTTGGTTGTGGAGAAACTTTAAACCACTAGCTAATTGCCGAGTATGCAGAACCCGGTCCGATGTCATGGTGGATTCGGACTATGATACCACAACCTCCCAAACCCCTGACATCATATAGTGGTGTTCTGCGCTTAGGCGATCATACATCATTCTCGCTCGCAAAACACTTCATACCCCTCACAGCTAATCCCACATCTGTCTCACATTCAGATTGACCCTTTTCCCCTTCATCCATCCCCTCCTCTCCTCCGGCCACTCCTGCAACCAATCAGGACACGTCCCACTAGCAATCGTGGGCACAGAATGCCACGCCCACCTCGCTTCTCCGCTCATTACGATCGCATCCCCACTCCTCACCCTAATCACAACCCCCTCTCCCTCTCCAACCCCTGCGATGAAAAGCGCCTCGCAGCCCAACGAAACACTGACTAATGGTGCAGAACTCGCCTCGGAAACATCCCGATGAGGCGCCAGTGTATCCCCCGGTGAGATACCAGGGGCTTCTCCTAAGTTTGTTCCACGCTGTCAAGGT